AAGCAAAGTCTGTAGTTCTTCCAGCTACAGCACTTGGCTTTCCATTAATGGCTGAATCTTTAGTTAGGCTGGTCAGGTAGAAAGCTGATAGTACAGATATTATAAGTCTAAGGCATTAGCACATTAAAGACAGTATCCTGTGGCTTTCTACAGGGCACATGTTCTACCTAGAATTGTTTTCTGCTTGGCAGTTAGCCTGGCAAAGTCAGAGAAAATATTTCTATTTATTTGGGCTCTGGCTTGCTGTTTTCCTTCCTTAACTGTACTGCAACATGAGTTTGCTACAAATAACTTGATACTTAAATTTACCCTCCTTAGAGCCATGGGCTGCAGTGTAGTTGAGGGCTTCTCTCAGTGTTTCTCCTGGAGGCAGAAGAGCAAGCAGCATTCACAAATTTTCAAAATCACTGAGACTCAACCACCTCATCAGCCTGTCCTCGGGTGGTCCATCTTCCCTTACCAGGCCATCTGGGCTGAGAACCTCTCCTGCCTCTCATCTGCACCTCAGCCTCTCTGTGCTCTGACCAACATAGCCCCAGGGCCAAGGATTTGCAAGAGCTGCAGGAGAACCCACCCACACTATTGCTTTGGCATTATCCCTCCCAGCAGTGATTAACTCCTGAATATCGAGGCAAATATCATGTCAAGAAATTGCTTGTACAAGTGGTCTTGCTATTCTTTATAGCTTATGGACTTCAAAATCATGTGCCAGTGTTTGTACACCCACTTCTTGCCCCAACCCCCCACAAAATAATAATAAACAACAAAAATACCCCCACGGGGTTTATGTAATTTGAGATGGGGCTTCCTTTGGTGCACAGGTCTGGGTCTGCAGTTCTGCTGGCACTGAATGGTGCTGTAACAGCTGTTCAATAGCTGAATTTGTTTCCTAGTTCCTCACAGCACATAGGCATCATCAGTGAAATATTCTGCTGTACTTTATTGACATGATGCAGTTTTGCACTTGGTCCATCTCCCATTGCAGCATCCATTTAGTCAAGAATGGCTGTCTTCAGTAATGGAGAGGGTGTCTCTCTGGATGACATGCTGCACCACAGAGTGAGACCCCAGAGGATACCATGTGCCAGGGTGTCAAAGCTGCATGATTCTCTGGTTTATCTAAGCTTTACTAAACAATATTTTATTAAACACAGGGTTAAGAATTGAACTACAAACCACTTTATCAAGAGCACTAAACAGAGTCAGTGGACTATGCTCCAGGAAGGTTTTGAGGCCTCCTTGAGCTCTGTAGGGCTCTTCCTTAGTGCTCTGCCTCTTTTGCAGCAGACCAGCTCCAGAATGGGGTCACCCATTGATACTGTGCTTCTTGTGGATTTAGCTTCAACCTGGACCACCTCACATTAAAGGAAAGAACAGCTGCTTCTTAGATTGAGGATACCAGTATCACTGTAGTGGAGTTTTAATTAAATTTGTACATTTAAAAGGAACCTTAATCACTTTCAAAAATGTCATATCAAGTTATGAAGATGGTTAAGATGTAAATGTACATACATTTTGTGGGAAAGGGGCAAGAGAGAGGCATGAAAAGGTGGAGCACGGTACTGGTGCAGAGGCAGCACCGTGGGGTGTTGATGGGAAGGCAGCGTCCTGTGGGGATGACAGCTCCTGGGAGCTGTATGGGACTGCACAGCAGCACAGGAGGTGCCAGTTGCAAACGCAAGATCACGGTGTCAGCATGCTGCTACAACACCTCCTCCTTTAGATTGGTGATTCTCACTGTGTGGAGTCCTCTTTTGGAGGTTTTGTGATGACGAGCAGAAAAATCATAGAATCATTTGAGTTGGAAAAGACCTTTGGGATCACTGAATCCATCCATCATCCCTACTCTAAAAAGTTCTCCCCTAAACCATATCCACCAACACCACATCCAAACGACCCTTAAACACATCCAGGGATGGTGACTCAACCACCTCCTTGGGCAGCCTGTTCCAGTCTCTAACCACTCTTTCTGTTAATTTTTTTTCCTGATGTCCAGTCTAAACCTCCCCTGTTACAGCTTGAACCCATTCCCTTTTGTTCTGTCGCTAATTACCTGTGAGAAGAGACCAGCACCAATCCTTCTAAAATGTCCTTTCAGGTAGCTGTGAAGACTGATGAGGTCTCCCCTCAGCCTCCTCTTCCTCAGACTAAACATTCCCAGCTCCTTCAAGCTTTCTTTTTAAGATTTATTCTCTAGGCCCTTCACCAGCTTCGTTGCTCTAGAACACCAAAAGGAACTAGTATTTTTGTAAAGAACAGACACTCTGGCTGCTGCCAGAATTCCCTCTTGCTTTGCGGTTTCCTTTTTCGTTCCTTGAGCACAGCTGGGACTCTGCTACTCAGTCACACAAATCTGTTCAAGCGCTCCATCTCTCAGGGAGACTCCATGCAGCTCTGGGTGAAACAGGCTTCAGCAAAGCCCAGCCTTCAGACACTCCTGTGGGAGCACTCAAAAATAGCTTCACTTAGGTAAGGAAACTACCTTATTCTCACATCTTCTTCTTCCCTTTCCTTACAGAGCTCCTAGCTGGGCTCTGCCCAGGTGCCTGGCATAGGCACTTGTATCAAATCCTGCTGCAAACTTAAATGATATTAAAAAATCTAATTTCAGCCACAAGCTTTCTGGCCACTGCTGCTTTCACAGTATCGTTTTCTTTCTCTGCTACTGGTGTCAGGCTGGGCAGCACTTCAGAGGGTGGAGGGAAAATTGAGCAGACAGGTGTTAGATTTTGGGAGACGGAGGCCATGGGCAAGAGGAGATGTGAGGATTAAAATACAATTTTTTTTTGGTATCTGTTGTTTCTTATTTCATGTCCTTTATTTAATGTCTTCGGTATTTCATGGCCCTTTAAAAATTGTTGCCATTATATAGTCTGTGTTGTCCTGGAAAGTGCCCTGACTGCTTTCCTGCTTTCACTGCTGTGCCAGAGGGATAAGTGCTGCTGAAATTAAAAGACAGAATAAAACATAAAAAATTAAGCCTGTCTGAGGAGAACAAAGCAACTAAATCTGTCTTGTAAAGACAAGGTGAAGGGATACCAGATGGCAGATTTACACTTATATGCTAGTGTTGAGCATTGCCTCAAATAGGGTCTGGTGATGGAACTGGGTGTTTTATGTTACAAAAACTAACAGAACGCATCTCATCATGAAAAAATCTAGCAGGAGACATGGAAAGTTACAACTAAACATTCTCTTTATTGGGGCCTTGTTCCAAAATGGCACAAGTGATAAACGCTCACAGTGCCATCAGTGCTGCTAATGAAAAGATCCACAGTAACATTTACACTTTTGTTTGGATTTAGATTAACACCACAGATAAAATACTTTGGTCAAACACAAGAACAGGTTGCTATGCTGCTCCTTCCTGGCTGCAGTAAGTACAGTAATGTGGAAAAAAAAAAAGCTGGTTCTCCTGGAACACCAAATGTAAGTCTTGGATTGGCACATACAGCTAATAAATACATTGTTTGCACTTAGCACTTTAAAACGGAATTGCACATGCAAGATGTAACCAGGCTACTGATCACCTTCATCATTGTCCCTGTACTACTTTTACTTTTTAGCTCTTTCCTTGCCTTTTTTTTTTTTTTTTTTGCCAGCAAGAAAGAAGAATACAATTTGCTGTTCTACTCAGTATTTCAGTGACTAGTCTGCTGATTTTGACTCACTCAGCAAAGGTAGAATCGGTATCTCCTCTGTAGCTTGACTTGCAACACTACACATCGTAGGCAGCAAGAGAAATCCACTGAAGTGAGGTGAAAGGTCTGCCCCAAAGCAGACGACGAGAGGTTAATACCAAGCAAAGATACATAGTAGAGGGACTGGTGTGAATGCAGTTCTTACAATATCAAGAGTCAATATTACTACCGCACAAATAATGACATATCAATAATATATTGTACAAGCTTATACAGCAACACATGTTGATTTGCAACATTGTACAGCTTAAATCTAAAGTGCACAGCCTCAATCTGAGGTGACAAAACAGTACTATCAATATAATAAAGGCAACACAATTACAGACACAATTTATTTCCTCTTACTTCATGTTCTCATGATATTACATTGAATCAATACTCCATTTATCTATTTTAGATTAAATTAAAACCACATTGCACTTTTTTTTCTCTTCAAGTATTTTAGAGACAGCAAAACAATATTGCTTTACAAATAAAAGTTGGCTGTTCAGGCAAGGTTAAAACCAAAACTTTAGTAGGGTTATAAGTAGACAGGCCTGAGCCACAGAACTCTTACCAACACTTCCAGATGTTGGGGGAAGAGGTGATAAATGTCAGTTTCCATGCCAGAGTCACCTCTAATGTTAAGGAATGATGCAACACATTAATTCTGCAGGAGCTGTGCCTGTGGTTTCTGAAAAGGCCTGAGAGGCTCTGCCTGGGCTGTTTTAGCAGATGTAGCCTTATTCAGTTTTTTCTGCAATTTCAAAATCCTTTGTCTATGTGGATGGAGTCCAGCACTAGGAGAAACCATTCACAAAGCAGTTTGTTACTTAGACCCCATTCCAGTCCCTCAGATTACAGTAAATGTGTAATTCAGGCCTTGTCTCAGATCTGTACATCTGTAAGAAGTTTCTACCCTCTTAATGTAGCTGTGAGGTTTCATGCTATTTTTTTTAGGAAGAATTAAAATAAATTTTAATTTTCATGGTAGTTTTGGACTGCTAATAGAAGAAATGGTTCTGAGACAACCACTGAGTCAGACGTGACTTTTTTTGGATCAGCTTTTTTACCACAGAACACAGAAAACATCCAAATACAACCTTATTTCAGTCTTGGTTAGCACTGTATATTGATTGTGCGTCTGCTTAGTTAGACCAAGTGGGAAACATAATTAGGAATAATAGCATCCTATTGTTGTACTGTAGTTGATCTTATTAAGTGGTTTTAAGAGCTGCAGTACTCTTGAGGTTTTTAAGTAATCAACCCTGGAGATGTACAATCCATATGACATGGAGAAAGGAGGTACTGGTACCTCTTAAGAATGTGTATGTGGACTTGCATCTTAAAAGAAGCAGTAATAAATATTTGAGGCACCTCCATCAAAAGAAGAAGAATCCTAGTTAATTTTCAGCTTCTGTCCTTGCATTTTTATAACCCATATAAAATAAAAATATATAGTTTATAAAATAGGATATTTTTCATATATATATCTTTCCTTTTGTAAAACTATACCTATTTAAATACAATTGAAATGTTGCTATAGGTATATTAGAAATTCTGTTCTAATACTACGAAAAAGGCAAAATGCTTTCACATTTAAACATACAACTTGTATACTCTGCTTCTCACTGCCCCCTCCCACTTCCCCCAATTTGGTTTTGTCACCATTTTGGGCAAATTTGGCATAATTCAGTCTGATTGATTTTTATTTACAGTAGTTGTGTTAAAATGGGGGATGATATTTTAAGTATCTTCTGTTCTTATTTGTTTTAATACAGCTTTTTGTGCACCTAATTATTAAGGAGGTCTTTTAAAACTCAGGAAAGGACTTTAAAGGAGCCATGTTTCTTGATTTTAAACTGTACTCTATTCCAACGCCACAATATAGAAATAGATTTACTTTGGAACAAACTACAATTACATTCGCACAGTTTGTGACAACTTAAGTGTCTAATTAGAGGTCCAGGAACAGACTTTCCCACACAATTATTATAAATCTTGTCCCAGGCGTTCTATTTCATCAATCAGGAAGTCAATGTCTTGGTGAGTTGCTGCAGGGTTGGAGATGACCATCCGGAAGAAGTTCACTTTGTCTCCCAGCGGCTGGTAACTCACCATGGTCGTTCCATACTCCATCATCCGGGCTTTTATCACTGGTGCCACCTGCAATGTGACAAAAAGCAGGGGATCATGACAACAATTGAATATTATAATAATAATAGAATTATTTTAATAATTACTGCTATCCTCATTATTATAATAACAAAACGCAGAGTATGTTTTATTTAAAAAAAAACACCACACATTAAGAGCTACAAGAAGTACTTAAAATGAAATGACATACAGTATTGCTAAAAAAATTGACATCAATTAAGGAATAAATGGCTCAATGAAAAGAAATGGGGTTTACCCTGCTTCTTTGTCCTGCTCTCAAAATCACTGGGAAATCTTCCCCCCTTACTTCCTCGATGTTGCCAACTCAAAACATACTGTTACAATTGTTTTCCACCTTCTTTTTGTACACTAGAGTGCCATGGTATTATTAAGCTCTTGCTGCACTTGCTGGGTTTAGTAATCACAGTCTACAGTAACTTCAGTAAATATACCAAGTTTCTAATGACTCCAGAAACCAGGCAAACCCAGGGAATACCAACCTTGGAGATGAGAGGCAGGTGGTGCCAGCCTAACCTGCGATAAAATGACCAGAGAGGTGTCATTTGCCAGAATATCACATAACCTGTGCCCTGGGAGACCATTCTGAGGATTGCCTGCATGCAAGGATCCCCGTGCTCACCACAGGATGTCCTGGAGGACACTCCTTACCTTCATAAGGCGGCTCGTTCTCTCCTCGTTGTCTTCCATACCACGCAAGCTGGGGGGTATGTACCAGAAGCAGACGTTTGTGTGCTGAGGCTGAACACAACAACAATGGTTTACACTGTAAGAAATGCTCGTAATATCTCAGTTGCAATTAAGTTCATGCCTTCCCCCAACTCTCATACATCATATTGTGACAGCAGTCAATGGTTTTCATTATTGTGGTCCACTGAGAGTCATCATCATTATTAATGCAGAAAAGATAATTTTAGGCAATTTATTCCCAGGGTGTCAGATGCAGAAACACATCATCCTGCTGTGTAAATTTATTTATCTCCTGCTGAGAGGCATCTATATTTTGTAGGTGCTGTCCCCTCCAGAGACTGAAGGGTTTGTGTGGCTAAGACAAGAGTCTATTACAGATAACTTAGAGGTGAGGACCACGTCATTTACTTTTATTACATGACAGAATAATATAAAATCTGGTTCTGTAAACAGGAGTCACAGATGGTTCATAAGACAGTCTAAGATTTTTATCATATTTAATGGAATTTATTACTTCTCAGTTTGATTCAGCTAGCTGCTGTACTAATATGCATGCACTGCAGTGTCTTAGCTTGTTTAACTTACATGGGAGCACAAAGTAGAAAGGCCTGAAGTAAAAAACAATTGACATTTTGTGTATTTTTGCAATCTCGCAATAGTTGTCTGCCTTGCTATGCTCCTCTTTGCTGGATGCTGGATGTGTGAGTTACAGCAACTCCTACTGCTGTCGGTTCCTTTACTCATCATCAGACCCAGTGGACCAAATTCCGTGATGATGTGTGAGGTGCAAGAAATAAATCACACCATGCGGGTAAGAGCCTGTGATCTCTGTCTGAAGAAACATGGTGACATTTATCCTTGTGCTGCAGAGTGCTTAGGAATGCACTAAGCAACACCCTGAGAGACAAAAACTTCCAGGGCAAGTACAGAGAGCAAAAATGATCACAAGTACAAGGGAAAAACCTAGAGTGGGATTTTCTTCCCCACTCTTTTACAGGCAAAAAAACAGTGAACTTTGTAACAGACATCTCTACCAGGCCTGACCCCAGCTATTGTAAATGGAAAGGGTTGTCCACAAAGACATGGCTGAGACAGTCTGGTGCAGTTCAGAGGTACAGACACACAACCCAAGCTGCACTCCCTTGCCCTGAGCACTGCCCCCCAGCTGAGCACCCAGGGATCCCGTCTTAGCTGGACTCCCTCAACAGAATCAACAGGCCTATAGATATTTGTACCCCACATCGTGGTGTCACCCCTGCCACATGTGCCAGCTGGGCTCCTGAGCAGCATTAGCCCCTACCCTGCTGTGCTGCACTCCATTGCAGCAGGGACTGCAGTGCAGACATCTCCCTGTCACCCCACGTCCCCTGTGACTGCCCACCTGAGAATGCTGATAAAAGCACTTTGCACAACCATCCTTTCAGAGTTGTGTGGGGCACTGTAACCACATAACAGACCCTGATGATAGAAAAATGCAACTTTTTTTTTTACTTAGGAGCTGGTCCTAACCAAGTTTGTGTAGTGTTAGCCTGAGATGCCAGTGTTTAATTTCAGTGGTGAAACTGTGCGAACTGAAATCTCATGCACAGCTGCCTCATCTACCTTGTCCCTGGATTCCTTAAAGAAGACACATATTGGCAGAACAAAAGGTTTTGTTACAAGGGACACTGTTTTCTGTCACATGCTGTTTGTTTTTACCTGTTGGTAGCATCCCAATAGGTGACTAAGGGAAGTGCTGTTGACCAACTGGGAAAAAGAAGTTGCAATACATACCTTACCATCAAACACCATTTCATACCCTTCTCTGTTCTTTATTTTGTTGTACAGGTACTCTGCAAGTTCCAAGCACTTATCAATTTGTGCTTCAAATCCTGTGGTTCCCTTTGGAGATACAGAGAGAAAAATGTTATATGACTGTTCTGTGGAGTGTCCTGCTGTTTTCAGAACAGGGGATTTTAATCTTCCAGAGGTGATGTGCTGGGGGCTTTTCCAATAATAGCTTTTCTTTTTCAGTTAAACACAGAAGAAGCAGATATGCTTTTAGAAATCATCCTGATGCATTTGAAAACGCACATTTTGTTTGGATACTGCTCTGCTGCTCTAGTGTTTTTCTCTCTTCTTTTCTAAGAGACACCATATACACTCAGAAGCTGTGTTTTTAAGAGCTGAAGCAAATCCTGTTTTTTCTTCTCTTGCAAAAGTCATAATCCTTTCTCTGTGACATCATAATTGTTCCTGCAATCACCAGCTGTGATGCCACAGACAAAGGATACAGCTTTATGAGGGAAGAAGGGGAATAAACAGCTGGAAGAGATAAACTGTTTAAGAAACACACATCCTATTTTGTAACACAAATATTATAAGTGGGGTGTGAGAAAAGAAAAGCAGTGCAAGGCATATTGAAAAAATGGTGTTTAGAAGAAGAAACATCTTTGAGTAATGGACTCACATCCCTGTTAAGTATTTTCTGGCAGTGCAGAACTGATTTAAAAGCCCATGTCATTATCCCTCTGTGTATAAGTGATTTCAAAATCAGGCAGAGCTAGCTCAGCCATGGGAGAAAGGCTTGGAGTTAAAGAGAGACATGTGGCTAAAACTGCCTGCCACTCTGGAGACCCCAGTTAGCCCAACGAACTATTGCAACCTCAGAAACTTGCATCCTCCTTTACAGACTCCCACACTTGGAGCTACATTTGATGTCTGTCTCAGAACTGTTTTCAGAGTTTTAATGAAGCACATGAGGATCTCTCTAAGGCTTTTTGGAAATGAAAACAGTGATGTCATCTCCTCTGAACAAACCTGAGGCAACTTGACATAACAGGCTGGATAAATATCTGGAAGAACTTATTTAGCAACTTTCTACAAATACAGATGAATTAATAATTTGAGCTGGTGTTTTCAGATTTTCCAGATAACAGATTTTTATGAGTTTTCCTCTCCACCTTCAAAAGATTGTTTTTTAACTACTGCATGCAATGAAATGAGGTATTCCAGTCTTGAATTGCCTTGTTTAATTTCTGATGTCATTAAAACATATTTTTTATTTCCAGAAATCTTACTAACAACATTCCTAGGTGTATGTTTTATGCTGTTAGGCTTCTACAGTTACACAAATCAAAAGCTAAGCAAAGCCACGAGGTTTCAAAATCATGTGTGTTGCTTTGAAGCCAAATTGTTAAAGGTATAAAAAAGCCAGAAAATAATAATGTTCTTTCTTTCATGTTCTATATGGGAAATGCAGGTCAGATACTTCTCTAAAATGATGACTACCTCTGTATCTGGTGTGCATTATTTTAATGCAAGCACATATCTTGCAGGCAGTCCTACCTTTGCCCTCCACATCAGCCACAGCTTGAAGACGTCAACGTGCCGCCCACACTGCAAAGCCTTGTCTCCTGTGTCGTAAGACAGGTCGTAGTGCTTGTCTTGTTGAAAGAGGTAGGAAGCATGCATTTGATTGCAGCTCTGCATCAACCCCTTAGAAAAACAAAGACACAAAGTGATGCTGCCACAGATGTGACTACTGATTTGAGGTTTGCTTTGGTTGAGAAATCACTAACACCCAAATTCAGTGGAGTATCTGTTCAAGTGCAAAAGAAAGATAAAAAACTGGACAAAACCTTAGACAAAAGACTTAGTTGCTGAGTGAACTAAGTTTTTCATATCCTATTCAGTGCCCAGGACACCTTGGTACCTGACCTGGCAATGTGTAATCCACTCCCAGAGCCAAGGCATTTTAAAAAAAATAGCTGGATATTGTGCTTCCTAGCATCATTATGCACAAGTGGGTTTTTGAATTTCACTTTTTATTCCTTGTTCTGGTTCCTTTTGCTCCTTTGCTTGAAAGGCTTTTTTTCTGGTTGAGTCAGACCTTGACAATGTGGTGACTAATCTAAGTAGTATCACACCACTTTTCTAATTGCTTTGGTATCAAAAATTCTGATTTTCATTTTTTTCTTTCTTTGAAGGCTCAGTTCTTTTCTGCAAAACCCTCAGCTGCAGTTTGGATCCTTAAGTGGATCCTTAAGCTTTGAACAGACAGATGAGCATATGGCCTTTAAACAGCCAGCTAGAGCTATTTCTGGGCTGCAAAACACCAGTTTGAGAGGCAGCTTTGTGGGAGGGCCAGAAGCCAACAAGGTGAAGCTACCTGGCTCATGAAAGCATGAGGTTTCCTTTTTATCTTTTTAAATGAAATACAGAAAGTCATGTCCTGGCTCTAGTTAAGCCCTCAATCCAGCTTAAGGTATACCTATGGGCTGCTGCCTACAGCTGCAATTTCTAGTGCAACAAGAATCAAAACTTGGCTATTTATCATCAAGTTTAATCTTTACGTGTAACTCAAAACAGAGACAGCAAAATCAGAGGGAAAAAATTGGCATTCTCCTAATCTGAGCCATCTGTTCTCACTGAAGGTCAACGATGGTACTGACTTCAACTGTGCAGGATTTGTCTCAGGGCACTGACCCAGAGGGCAAATAAAAGCCAGGTTCTCTCTTCCTAAGTGCAATCACTTTGTATACAATCTGTTGTACAGCTGTTAGCAAAACAGCAACCAGCTTTTTGATAGCTGGCCTAGTAAGTGGTGGTTGTATTCAGCTGTCTCAGTAATGATGGTTATATGAAAATTGCAGGCTTGAAGGATAATTTGAATTCTAGTACTAAATGAAATCTCTACTTTTTATTCCATGTGAACTTAGTCTTCCCTTTTTATATCCATGTTCCCTCAAGTGGATCAAAGCTGGGCTGAAATATCATAGAAGTCTAGGAAGTGCAATGATGCCTAGATTCTGGACCAAATGTCATTCTGCCTGTATTCCAGATCATTCATTCTAACAGGACTAGAGTTTACCTAAAATTACATTTTGTGCTTCACAGAAACTAGTGGGGTTACACAGTTATGCACCCAGAATTTCACTATGGATACAAAACTCTGTGAAGACATTGCCATTTATTGGATCTATAATTTCTGCTAGACAGCTACTTTAGCTCCTTTTGCAGTCACAGCCTGAGCACATGACTAGATACTTCTCCATTTCTTTTCTAATCCTCATCACATTGGCAAATATTAGCTATGACAGTTACAAAGAAAACATCCAGGATTTTCTGAAGCAAAATGTTGGAAAGGATCAGAGAACCAAATACACTGAGACTTACCTCTTCTCTCACTAGCAGGGCTGAGCACTGCAGCGGGACACCCATCATCTTGTGAGGGTTCCAGGTCACTGAATTAGCCCTGGGACAACAAACCACATGAAAAGTCAGACATTGTTCTGTGGTGGTGAAACCACAGAGACATTTAGTAATAACAAGAGTAATAATTAACATGTTGCAACGCACACCCTTTTCTTTTTCTGAGCCAGCAAAGCTGAAAATGATCATGGCTGATGTCAGGAAAGCAATGCTTTCATATGGGACCTAATCTGCTCCAGTTGGTTTTTGGATAACAATTCTGCTAGTTTATCACAGGGTAACTGCTCTATCCACTAAATCAAATCAGTATTAAACTTCCTGGGGAGTCATCTATACTTCATAAACATAGGGCAAACTTCCTCAAAAAACCTGACTTGCTTGAAGTTGCAGATAATAAGCTGACAAAGTAGTGTATTCCCTACCACTGATTCCAATTTCAGTAAGATTTTAGTTAAGTAGCTTACATATGCATGTTTGAAATTTCCTTTATATACTTCTGGGCACCTCTAAGACTCGGAATAACTTGGAAGACCTGAATAGAAATAATTTTTCTCACTGCTCTGCTGATGGTAAATTTTCATAGCTCCTTTATTTTAGACTGGCTATGACAAGTCACACAATTGGAGGACTGAGCCCGAAACTACCAAAGTGCTGAAGACAGGACTGATCCATCCTTCCACAAAGGAGTCGGATCATGTCTCCCTTCAGGACACACTCACTGAAAAAACTGCTGTCAGCCCGGGCAGGGCACTGTCACAACACAGCTTAGAGATGAGACATTTGGGACTGTGGCAAGGGATGAATGAAAGATTGTTCAGTTGTTTATTATTTTAATGTTGTGTTATTACTGACTGGCTATTTGTTAATATTATTACATATGATGATTAGCTGATAGATGTATACATTTGCATCCTATTTGGCAGGCTGTCAAGGACGCATAGTGCACAGGATTTCATGTAGTGCAGTGATTTTAGTTTTGATGGTATAAATTGGCATAAAACAGTCAAGTGGGGCCTGTAAAAACTTGAAGAACCCATGACACGCTTGCAGATAACATTTATGTGAACAGAGATGAGCATGTTGGAATCTGGCAGCATTTTCCTTTGTAGGATTTGGAGACAGCACTAAAGGTTTATGCATGTCCTCATCATTTCCTGCCAAATTGTTTCCACTCCTTCAAAGTAAGCAACTCTAAAATTCACATGGACAGCGTGCAGCACTCCTGTGCTTTCTTCTCTGCTATCTAAATGGGACTGTGCAAGTGCCTGATGCAAAATCTGTAGAGAACAGAATAGGCAACATCTGGCCACTTGGCTCAGCTTTTTGAGTATTTGGCAGCTTTTAATCAGCTCAGTCACTCTTCTGATTACAACACCAAAGTTAATGACTCTGAACACACACTCAGGTCTATGTATTTCCTTTGATATAATACTTCTAAATTTTTATCTGTGCCTGCGTGGATCAGGCAGAAATTCTTTTAAGAGACTTCTAGGTAATATAGTAGTGGAACGGGTTATCTCAAGCAAAATAATTATTTACTGACAGCAGCCAGATGTCAACTATCTGCCTAAAACATTTAATTTACCCTAAGGTCATTTATTTCCCCAATTACATCACAATTGCACACAGAAGAAAAAAATAATTATGGAAAACAAAACCGCACCATTTTTCATTTGTTATCAGTTTTTCTGGGCTTCAGTCATCAATATGCCCTTGCAGGAACTGCTGACTGAGACAAACAGTGAAGGAAAAGAGCTACAGGGATTCACAGATGTTTTTTAAAAGCATCTTATGTTTGCCCAAATACCTGAGCACCAAGCACCTATGTGTTTTTTTGCTTGAGAGTCACAAGCGGAAGAAAAAAAGAGGAAAAGTTTTCCTTTAGAGATCCCAAATGGATGACAGGAGAGATTAAAGAGTAGCAGAATTTGGGCCTCAACGATCATTAAAAACACACCGAGGTGCCTTCACCGCCCAGGGGCAGCCCCAGGAAGGAAGGGTGCTCAGACCCTGTATAGCAGCACTCCTTCAGCTCCAAACATGCTGTTCTCATGTAGCCATCACCCCCCGCCCAAGTGTCTGGGAGTGGGACACCAGACTGAATTTCCTGATGATGGTCAGACCCCTCTGCTCCTGACACCAGGGGACAGGCTTCCTTCAGGGTGCCTTGCAGCAGCTTGAACTTTGCCACTGGGGGACTGGAGAGCACAGTAAGGTTGGTCCTGCAACTTCTCCTGCCTTTGACAGGACTATTTTTTCTGGAGTGACTCTTAACAGAAGGATGGGGATCTCAGAGCACAAAGTGCTCCACTGAATGCTCCCTCTTTGTACCTTTCTCCTCTGTCCAACCTGACTAAGTACCAGCTCCAGTTCTCTTCTACCGAGACCTGTAATATCTGGGTTGTGCTTGAATATCTACCATAAAACAGGAATGTCCAAAAAATTAGGTCTAGTAAGTCTACTCTAAAGGTTCCCACATTGGAGAGCTGGACAAACTGTAATGAGCCGCAGTGTCCATCAAGCAGCGGAACAGCACTGGAAAGGACAGATTTCATTAATTCACTGTCAAACATATGGAGATGGTGCTTGTCAAAGTACCAGATAAAATCCAGTGGAGTTCTGGGTCTAAAGCACATTATTTGGAGATTTTTCCAATATGGATTCAACCTGAACTTCTCATACCAGCAGAATTTGGACAGCAAATTGGGAGACAAACTCTTTTTGTCATACTCTTGTCTTCACAGGCACCTGGGTAGATTTTTCTAACTTGCTGGATGTCTGGATTTGTGTCCTTTTAATACACAATATGTAAGTCTGCAGTGCTAGGGGCAGTCCTAACTAAATTGAATCCATAGAGCTTTCCAAGCTTTGCATGTGAGATGTATAAGAAAGGTATCCTCCTAATCTTCAGAAACAGGATGAGGAAGTTGTTTGTAATTTTAATTGGCAAGGAAGAGCAATCCATTTTAGAGATAAAAAAGGTGGAAGGGAGCAATAGTTTACTCTCTTAACAGCATGAGCTTCAGATGATTTGCAAATGTGAGAGTAACTCCATCTATCCCAGTACAGTGTCTTTAACAAGTGGCCTAAACCAGTGTTTGGGAAAAAACAAAACAAAACAGGGCAAGCATATATGACATTCCTCCAAATATTCTCTGAGTACCCAGTAATTTGTGGCTCACAGAAGTCCCACTTTAATTATTTATTATTTTTATTTATTTCCCTTGAACTCAGGTAATCTTAATGCCCTAGGGCAAGGAGTTCCTCACCTTAACTAGAAGTTTCTAAATAAAGCAGCTCTTTGTATGTTTAAGCTCAGACTTCCCAGTTTCCAAACTGGACTGATGTCTCTTATGATCATCTGTGTACATGTGCAGTGCTCACAGGTTCATGACTCCAAATGTGTATATCCAGGCACAGATCCACTAAGAAGTGACCAACATGCCTAGAAGGGGATATTCTCTCAGAAGTGACAGAGCACTGGTCAGTGACTGCAAGGAACCCTGTCCAAACTACAGGTGCATCCACCTTTCATACTTAAGACTTCAGCATGCAAGACCTCCCTCCAAGATTAATTTCTTAGAGAAATGCGATTGCTAATCCATGTTTGACACTGTGACAGGGGATGCTGCAGAAACCACTCTGGAGCTGCAACATATGTTGGGAAGAAATGCAGACAGGTTTCTGCAGCTTGTACCACCAAACAAAGTGCCACACTACTGTAGCATTGAGCAAAGGCACTCAGCAATGCTGTTACATCTGGAAGGGCAGTTTGCATAATTTCTCCATATTTCATCTTGGGAATAACATTGATTTATATTTTTATTTATATATACTGCTACGGTAATAAAAAGTGTGTTAAAATGCATTTAATAAATGTGTTTAATTAACATGAATAAATCATACCTTTCAACACCATTTAACTTCCATTTGTGTTTTCTTGACATCAGGAGCCCACCTCCCCATGCTCCCTAGAAGGCAAGACACATTATCTTAATGAGAGGAGAACTCTGCATTTCTCCATGATGACATCTGTGCATTCACATCAGTTTGGGGCCTTTCTTTTTTCTTGCTGATGTGGCACATTTCAAAATGACCAGGCAGATGGGGCCTGAGGCATCAGCTATTCTAACAATTTTCTTCCAGTAGCTTGGAAACAGCAGTTTATAGCCCATAATCTGAGTATCAACCCTCATCATCTGCTCACCCCTCCCTCAGCACCTCCTCTGACACTGACACATTGGGCTGCCCCCATGCTGTAATTAATGACTTGCAGGCAGCTCCAGAAAAGCTGCCTTTTCTCTTTTAGTGACTGATTATAACAAACCAGACTGGGGTCTTAGCTGATCTGGTGAGTTTTCTTCACATTTCAGTTCACTTTTGCTTGCTCCCTACTCATTTGCTTTCCCTCAGAGATCTGGGACAAGCTGGCATTTCATACGACTGAGAAGTAGTTTAAGGAAAATATTAATTCTTCCTTTGAATTGGAGTGATTTTGGCTGACAGAGTAATCCAAAGCAGGATACCCAGCCTTATAGAAATCCAATTACCAAGCTTTTCTGGAAAATGGATTTGCAAAAATGATACAAAAGCCATTCTAGGGATGAAAGATGATCCTTCAGAAAGATTTATTGGCGAGAACCCAGATGAAGTTAACTGGCCAATCAGATAAATTCCTCTAGCATTTGCACTAATCTGTTCAGCAATTTGGGGTACTTTACTCCAGACAACTGTAGACGTTCCCTTACATATTTATATTGCAGCTGCTGCAGAAGCTGAGCCAGTGATCAGTATAGCTCTTACATGTTTCTTGTACTAACGGCATTTAGAGATAAAGCTGAAGGCCAAAAGCATTCAAAGTAGGTCATCTGAAGTATCTCAGCTGCTACAAGTATCACACAGTCCCAACTCCTGAAATGCCCCCCTGACCTGAGCCTTTCAGGGGAATGGCAAGTCAGGGCTCGGATGTTAGATTGAATTACAGGAACAAATACAACCAGTTTTGTACAAGATTACACTGTCTAAAATAAATTCATGCTAATACACCTTGCAATCACCCCTGTGCCTCAAGATGATACTTACATCCACGTGCATCCAGATTTTGTATTTCTTGCAGATGTCTGCAATAGCTATGAGAGGATCAAACGCCCCGTACACTGTTGTCCCAGCTGTGGCACTCACCAGAAAAGGAACAAATCCCTGCAAGAAAACAGAGGTATTTGGCAAGGGCAAAGAGCTTCAGCCTCCTCAGCCTGCAGCACCCCCGGTGCCTCCAGTGCTGCCTCCACAGTGAGCCCACAAGTGTCTCCTAGAGGACGTACCGACCATGTTACACTGCTTTTCTCTTAGATGAAAGCATATTACAGTTTCTACCTTAAGGTGGCAGCAAACTTCCAAACCAGCATCCTCCATTTGTTAGGATGCACGAGACAGGTGGCTCAGAACAACTCTGCTCCGTGAAACACAAAGGTCGGCCCTTCATGATGTCGAGGTAAACAAACCTCACTCAATCACCACAGCGCAAGAAATACCTCTGGTGGGCTGTGCCCTGGGCGGTATTATCATTATCCAGTGAGTGTCTGAACGTGTGGTGGCCCAGTCCTGTCAGTGGGACAAGGGGCCGTGCACAGGGGAGGTGCAAGGCTCACCTCCAGCCCCATCCCTCGAGCAGAGTGAGGAGACAGCCACCTCCACAGAGACCAGGGACCATCTCTTGGATTCCCCCTGCTAATTGCTGTGCCTTAGAGAGGTGCACTCACTGTCTGCCACATGCCAGAATTTATACCAGTGTTTCATTTTAAATTCAGTGGTGGTTCTGTTGATTTCATAAGCAGTACTCACAGCAGCAAAGGTAAAGAGGGGCTACGTTTTTGCAGAGCTGGGGTTTAACTATCAAAAAGGTCTGAACTTCCCTCTGCAAAGTTAAATACATGGTCAGTAGGTGTGGTGCTCTATTGCCACATTGCCTTCCATTTCTATCTATTATATCATTTTTCTCAAACAAAGTAAGCTTTTAATGAAGATTTTTGTTATTAATGAGCTTTGAATGCTGTGTTTCTAATGATTATTTACATAAATATTGTTGAAGGCACAGGGCTAGGTTCATTGCATACTTTAATCTGTTGTTTTAATTCTAGCTTCTATTAATGAACACATACGAAACTAGGGCATTTTTCAATATGTGTGGATTTTAGTTTAACTTCCATTGTTTTGGTCACTATGAAGAATAATTCAAACAACATAAAATACATAATAAATTACTTGGATGATTACTTTGGTTTTGCCAATACTCAGCTGGTAAACTGCATCACAGAGAGATAACATGAAAAAGGAGGATGTTATGCAGAAGAACACATTAAAAAGTCAAATAGTGGATGGAGATTATAAAATAGCTCTAAACCTATTTTCACAGCAACTCTTGCCTCGGTAATTTCCAGCCTCCATTTCTGAAAAATAAATCAAAAGTTAATGGGCAAGCCTATGTTGTTTTACCTAGGAAAACAAAAATGTAACTAGCTGTACCATTCTTGTGTTGTTGGGTTTTTTTCATTTTTGGAAGAAGAAAGCTAGTAAACTTACTTTTTGTTTGGCTTCGATAATTCTTCTTTCAAGGTCTGATGGGATCATTTTCCCTCTGGAGCAAGAGAGAGTTATATTAGACACGTGATCTTGAAATCAGCCCTTATTGTTAGTTCTTCACTTAAGAGGAAACCCAAATAAGAAACAAAGTGACTTTTTTTGCCAAGGCTTGTGTAGCATTGAAGAGCACAGAAAGATTCTACCATCAGTCTGATTTCTACCCTAACTATACTGTCAACCAATCTGCATCAACCTGGTGATGGTAACTGAGAGTAGTTACCTCATGGCCACCCTAATTAAAGACTGATGCTGCTCCATGGAGACTCCTGGTCCTGTTTGACATTAGAGCCCTGGGAATACGCTCCAGACTCCCAGGGAGATGCTCAGCCCAGGTTCCCAAGAAGCTTGTGGGTGCCAAACTCCACAATCTCCTCTCAGCAGGCACAAAAAATGCCAGCTGAGCTGCATAGCCTCGAGCAGCACAACTCAGCTGGGGTGTAAGCAACTCTGTTTCCATCCCAGGGATGAATTAATTTCAGGGCGACTATTCCACAGTTTGGTGAAATGCATGTTCACATCTGCTTGAAGCAGGACACAAGAAGTGACCAAACTGGACTCGTTAAATACACTGTCAGGCCCTTTTTATTGTCTGTATTCTGTACTGGCAACACCTTTATTAGGAACCATTCACCTGAGATGCAGACACAGTGGTACAAGGCTTGAAGTGCAAGATAAGACAGTGCTGATACTGAATATTGAGGTTAAGGTTTTATTTGCTTTAGCCACAAGCAAGACTATCTAAGAAGACAGTACACAAAACAGCTATACATACATGACAGCAAACATGACACATTACAAGAATCAAGTCTTCATTTGTTTTTAATGTTGCCCATTTAGACTAATACTATTTTTAAAAGACTTTTTCAGTTCTCAGTACAGTTTTTCTGTGATAGTTCCTCAAGTGGGATAAGTTAATTTAAGGTTGTTGAAGATGACACCGCTGCAATGAGTTACAGCAACTGTTGACTGCATCTTATATGCTCTCTCTGAGCTCAGAAATTGATGATCCTCTTCTATGTACACACATAAAAGAGCTGTATTTGGCATCTTTACTTACCTTTCATCACATCTAATCAGAATCACACTATCTGTACCAATACCCAAGGCTGCAGCTCCTTTCTTCACAGAGAAGTGACTCTGGAAAAATACATTTATTATCATTTATTATTTTCATTATGATTTCTTATCCAGTTTAATATAAAACACTACACTCTCACAAGCCCTTCAGCAAGTACTCCCACACAGGCTATTCTACATACAGACTCTTTGGAAACACTGTAATTTGAGGCTTCCTATCAGGTCACTACAGTCAATCAGAGACAAAGCAATCACTCTTAACCTGGATTTATTCCTCGAATATTAAATGCACAACTGTGGCTGATGATGGACCCAAATTCTGTCCTTGATGCATACCTGCAGCTTCCATTGCTTGTACAGGTTCAGCTATGAACTTGATTCACTGAAACAAAAAATTATCCCTTACAGAATTAATTTAGTTCGTGGCATCCAGAGTTATGTGCTTCTTCTATATAACTCCTGGCCAAATAATATACTGAGAGAAATTAAGATAGGAAGCTAATTGTGATCTCATGCCAGTGAAAGGTAGTAATAACTCCCATTAATAAATAAAGCTACTGCAGTTTAAAATCAGAACTGGGCTATTAGTAAGACTATTAGTTAATCTGTATGTACAGAATAAAAAGTGGAAGTTGTATTTGGGAGTGCAAATCAGTCTAACTTTCTCCAGCTCCTGTGACTAAACTCCTGAGTCAGTGTTGGTTTATAATTATAATTGAAATCCTAGTGATTATGATTCTTAAATAGTTTTCTATTAAACCACCAAGAACCTGATTTTATTCACTCAGACATGGCTGTAAAAATACTGTCCAAAGCAATTTTATCTCTGGATTATTAAACTTAAAAAATGGAAATTCTTTGTATATACTACAGGACCATTAGTTTGGATGTAACACTATAAAAAAGATCAAGGAGATAAAAATCTAATATGGTTTTTTAGGTGTCTGAGACATTAAAGAAGAAAGGAAGACATAAAGTCTGTGAGAGTAGTGAAGCTAACCACAAAGTACAGAAGTAATCACAATTGCTTGTCAAGTGAGTATTTGGCTTCAACTGTAGTAAGTGTAGTAGAGAGCTACAGGGGAAGAGATGGACAGGATGGGTTACACGTCTGCTTCACTCAGAGGCTGTGAAGTCAGAGGGAGTTCACTGCATACTTAAGGGCTCCCTTCATATTGAACACTTTGAGAAATGAAAATAAATTCTAAATCAACTTCATGAAAGAGAGAGGAAGACTAGAACTCCAACATGAACCTTCAGTTCAGTAAGTAAAAAACCCCTATGTTTTAAAAATCACTTGAGGGATGGTAATTGCCAGTAACAGTTTAAGGTTGCAGAAGAGGTTCCACTCCAAACTTCTTTTTTTTTTTTTTTCATATGCCTGTATCTCATTGTTTTGGCTGAAATGCCTCAAGTTTTCACGATGCCCATAGTTTTTCAATGTTGAGACATTGTTTAAAAGTTCAGCTCATTCTTGGGCCATGACTCACTGATAATACATAGACAATTTGAAAATACTTCTTCAGGTGAATGATATTTTTCATATTATGTTTTTTTAATGCAATGGGTGGTTAAAGCTTTCCCCCTTGGGTCATGGCTGCAGTTTACCAACAACATGTACTGAGCAGCCATTGAACACACTGTTTAGACATACAACCCATTTTTAAGGCCCTAGTACAAGAAGCCATCCTAGCCCCGGAATTTAGCACATTCTGAAATGTAAACATATGCCCATCAGACTGACTTTTGCACAAGCTGGTGATCAAATGAAATGCATATCCATGTGCTTAAATGACCAACAAGGGACTGGTGTCTGTGCTTAAATGTTTTGCTGAATTACCCTGGGCTCATTGCAGCTGGCCTCTCCAGGCTCCAGTCATCAAGTAGGCTCGCTCTGCAGCCTGGGGGGGAGACCTGCAGGGAAGGGCTGCTGGATGGAGTGGGTGCTCAATGACACCAGGTGAGGAGGTTTCTACTCCTTCCCTATGCCCAAGCCCTGTGATATCTGCTGTCTGGGAGAGTGGAAAGTGTGTAGCACCTGCAGGCACCAGCACTCTGGAAACTGCTAGATATTTTAGTACACTGTTACTGTCTAACCTATTAAAACCACAGGCTGGTGGTATCCTCAAAATAGATATGGAACTCCCCCTGTTGTGTTTCTAGCTGGAGTCACGAAGTGCTAGGATGTATTGACAGAGTGAAAATCACAGGCCTGCTCAGCATCACGCTGTTATTTTTCATGGTGTGTTCTTTGTTTCATGAAAGCAAATCTGTGAACACACACACTTCCAGGAGCTGCATCAGCTTTGCTACCGTCAGTGGACCTTCCCCTAGTACAAACGCATTGCAGAGTAAGGCTTAGACTGTGACCAATCCACAAAACTCTGAATGTGGAAGGTACAGAAGTATCTTCCCAGCCCTGCAGATCTCCCTGAGCCCTGTGGTGTAGCAGTGCAACTTCACCAGAGCAGGGAGGAAGGAAAGGTCATGAGGAGGCTACTGCTATCAGGAGGCTTACTCTGACGTTTGAGAAGATACTTTTGACCTTTACAAAAACTGAAGCAGAGCTAGGATATTGCCAGCATAATGGTAGTTCATGTATATGCTATGTGAAGCTATAATTGAATTTATATACTTTAAAAATTAATCTGTTCTTTATTAGTGTATTACAGACACTTGTGCACATTCTGGGTAGTGTAATTTATAAATACTGGTAGAGATGGAGGAGTAAGAAGTCAGATTTATATTGCACTGGGTTTAGATTCAATGACATTACATTGATTAATTTTGCTCCTTATTCCATACTAGTTAAAACAGATTTACTATTGCAATTTGTTTTTCTAATAGAAAATAGAACTACACAAAGTGCCTTATTAAAGAAAATACAGATTTGAATGGTTTACTATGAGGACAAAAATTAAGCCCATGTGCTCAGAGGCCTCTACTGGAACATGGCCAAGCTCAGCTGCCTCACTGAGAAGTCTCATGGCTCTGCTAAAACAGCAGTGGGGGGAAAAATGAATGTAGTGCTGGTAGCTCGGTGGCCTGAAGGCTTTTTACAGATTGAAGGGAACTCAGTGGTCAGGAACCAAAGCACGTTTAGGGACAAATTGGGAAGAAATACAGAAGTCTGTGCACAGAAAGGCAAATGCAATTACAGTTTCTAAACAACCTTTGAATATGAAATTGGTCGACCTATGTACACACTCACAGGTATATGGCTGCTGTTATGTTTTTGTGTCTCAGGGCAACATCAGAGGAATTACTCCAACTCCAGGATGAAAGTGAAAATTAAAAAAAATATATTGTTTTAAGAGCCAAGAAAACTTTGCTAATGATAATGAATATTAAACTTGATTTTAATATTCCTGGGATGATGCTGAAAATTTGTTTGCCTGTGTAATATAATGCTAAACAAAGGAAAATATAAATGTCAAAGAGAAGGGAAGATTTTCAGAAATAAGCCTGGTTTGACAGAACTACTGACGGATTCAGCTGGGCTAACAAGGAAGAAGGACCTCAACTGTGACCCCTTTGGAAAGATGGGGGGTAGAGGCTGTTTAGCCACGCAAGGAAATGAGCTTGAACACCATCTTTCATGACACAGCCATGCAGGAGTTACACAGATCTAAAACCTTATGGTGGGAGAATCAGGGTCAAAAAAGGACAGGGCAGACTGCCTGATGTGAGTCCTGAAGGAAAAAACAAGTTAGGAGAAGCTGGCAGGACCAGAGTTTCATCACTGTCCTGTACTTGCCAGTGACCGGAGTAGAGGCAGTGGGACTGGGCTGTCACTGCAGCTTTCTCCTTTCCTCCCTTCATGCAGTGCTGCACTGCAAAAGGTGCATGGAAGACTACAAATGTTCCCGCTAGAGAGGAACCTCAATTTTTGTCTGAAGGAAATATGGTTAAAATTCAATGGTGAATGAGAAGGCACAGAGTATTAGTCAATATTAGTGACAAAAGCATATAATTATTTAGGAGAAAAAAACTGTGATCTTGATCCAGGGAATTTTCCCTTTGTCTAAAATTTCAAAAGCTGTTAGGAATACGTGTTTTTGTCTAATAGTAATTTCTTCATAGTTAGCTTTGTAAATTAAAAACACATTGTAAATTTATTACAGGTGCAATAACTAATAGGCCTTTTGGGAAAAGGAAGAATTAGAATAATTAAAAATCTTATGATGGTGAAAAGTATGGCATTATTATCTTACATGAACAGTGCTTCAATATACAGATGCTTCTATTTTTATAGCTTGCTAAATTAATTGCTCATAATCTGGCATGGCTGAAGCTGTCAGAAAGAAACATCCTAATACTGTGAGCCCCAAAGGCCATGGCTGGTTTTTCAGACTGCAATTTCTCCCTGCTCACATAAATCCAGAGTGGCACAAGCTTTGTGGAAGAGCTCATCAGGAGCGAGTTCTCCAATGATGAGCAAGCTGAGCCGTCCAGCACCCCAGACCCATCTGAGTTCAGTAGGTTTGGTCACTGGCACCCTGCTGCTCTGCAGACCTGGATCCCCAGCCTCACTCCATCAGCCACACGCCAGCAAAGGAGGTGCACATGCTTTCCTCTTCCTCTTGCCTGGGCTTTAAACAATTTAGGATTCCTGGATGTGTAGGCTGGGCCACTTGTCTCTTAATTTTAATAATCTAAAAATGTGTGTCCAGTCTAGGCTTGTGGTCCGGGCCCCCTCAGTAGCGAGGAGGAAAAGGTACCACCAGAAGACACCTCATCCCCAAGGCTTTGGCATCCATTTTAGACTAGGATGAGTTGTCTTCTGCAGATCTCACTCTCCTTTTATTTGCTATAAAAAGTGCATAGACTAACTTAGATTAAATGTTTACACTTTAAATTATTAAAGTGACATGAATCCTATCTTTGACATCTCCTTGTAAGCTACAGCTTTTCCTTCAGTTGTCTACAGAAAGAGTATATTGGGTCTCACCACATTTTAAAAGACACTGTAATGATATATATGTTTGCTATTATTTCCTTTAGCACCTGCTATTCAATTTTTAAAGTTATTTGTTAATGTCAGGGGAGAAATGAATATATTAATGTTTCTGCACAACAGACTAGTATTTCCATCTTTTGCGTTTTTAAAATATGTAACTTCATGCTGCTTTTCTAATCCAGCAAGACTCATGACTTGTGTTTTTTTCTTGTGCAGATAGTTTTATAGCATTATTGTACTGATTTCAGGAGGATTCTGTGGCAGTGTAAAAGTCACAAGGTATCACCTGGATGAAGGTGCCTCCTTTGAGACAGACTGCACCAGAGCATTGCTTTTCTGGAAAATGGTTTTGCTTTGACTGGAATGGAGTTGCTTGAATTTAGTTGCTCGAATTTAGCTGCTCCTCAAATAAGACCCTTTTTCACTGTTTCCCTCTAGCTTCAAATACCACCAAGGAATACTCTCCTGGTTATTTTGTGTAAGGTAATGCAAATAAAGAATGTGTGAGTCCATGAGTTTGATTTTTAGTTTCCTAGGTTGAAACAAAAACATTTCCTACGTAATCTGTATGCAAGTAATCTGTATGTAAGTATAACTTTTGGATTCATAATTTATGCCATCACATAGAAAACATGGTCTCCAGGTTCCTCAGATCTTTTCCTGGAAGCCCCACAGGTCACCCCGTGAACTGCTTCTTCCAGGTGCCATTCATGGAAACTGCCTCCTAAGCAGCCTGCCTAGAGGGCATCACTATGTGTCATGAAGTGGTGGGACTAGAGATCAGCTTTTCAGTCTGCACAGAAATGAAACCAAAATCATCCACATGCTGTGTGAAATTGAGGTGTGCTGAGCTGCCTGCTTTGAGACAGAAGTAATTTTTAAATTTCTATCTCAGAGTCAAGAACCTCCATTTTAGATTTCATTTTAGTTCAGGCAAAATCTTTGCCATAGTTTCTTTTACCCTTCTCTCACGGCTTCTGGTATAGTTTGCTTTATGGACTGTATTCCCTTCCTTGTCCACAAGGAAATCAATGTGCAAGAAGCTGAAGTGGTGATTTACTGCAAACTGCCTCTTCTGATCTAACAGATGTGTGAATATTGATGTTGTGTGTGCTCTGGCTGTGAGGGTGCTCACCTACAAACTCTCACAGACACTCCCAGTGCTCCTCCAGAGAACAAGGTCCCCCTGAATATGTCTGGCTTTCTGCAATGCTGACACTTTACACATGAGCTGCCAAGAGATCCTCCTTTCAGTCAGTGGCTGACAGAGCCATATTCCCTGTGAAGCCTCAGGCAGGAGCCACTTCACCCCAAGAGCTCTGCAGGTAAGGGGATGCCAGAGACAGAGACACCCTATCTGGGCTCCCCTTGCTCTCTAACTGGGAGAAATGCCAGTTCTTACTCTGTGGTTTCTCTTCCAAAACTAGGGCAGGAGTTGTAGTATTCTTTTGCTGGTGAGTACCTGACGTCACTCCTCCTTGCAGTGACTGCTAGATGGGGTGGGACATTAGGAAAGCTGATGTGCACCACATGAGCACAGTCTAGTTGGGTTGAAGAACAGCAGAGGTGAAGAAATCCCCATGTCTTTCCAATCATGCCCAGCTTTTTTTCATTCCCTAAACTGCGGGTTGAGTCTGTATAGTTCCCAATTAAACACTGAGTCTGCATAAAAGCTGCAAGTCTGTCAGCTATTTTTATACTATCAAATAGTATAAAATGGGGCTTGGACTAGATGATCTTCCAAGCCAAATGATTCTGTTAATAAAAGGACCAAGGACTGTTTTGTAACATGAACTCAACCAGTTCTCTACAGCTAAACTTCTCCTCTCTGCATCCCTCTCCTCAGAGTTGCGTCTTTTCACTTGTCAGGGATGATCCCCGCTCCATGCTATTCCCAGCTACTGCTAGATGCTGTCTAAGAGTGCTAGTTGGCCAGATCAAAATTGCAACAGCGAATGGGTTAAAATTCAATGGAACTTGCCTTATAGACAAATGCATCAACAAATATAATCTGAGGAGGCAGCTCTCCCTTTCAGCTGCTTTCTCAACACTGAAAAAGGGATGAGCTCAGCGGAACACTCACAGCAGCCTGAAGCTGATGCACCAGCACACAGGAGGAGGCCTTCAATCTTGGTTTTTCATTGTGTTTGAAATGATACACTAAAATTGGTTTTTACAACTGGCATCCATCACTTTTAACCCTCTGAATCAAGGTCTCCTGCATCGCATGCAGTCCAGAACAGCTGCCCTGAAGGACATCGCTCTGCTCCTGCACCAGTGCAGATGAAAGAACCACTAATGACACACTGGTAACTACAGCGGCCTGAATTCAGTCTTGAGTAAGCACTTCTCAGGGAATTATACCTCGGCCAAGACTGACCTAACCAGTTACATTCTACTCCACCATCACTGGTGAAACAGAAATAAATAGAAGCAGAGTGAGTGATAAGACATGGTCCTACTGAGCAGCTTAGGGAAGATCTGCTATCTGGGAACAAGCATAGTTGGAATAATCACATAACCTATTTTAGGCACCTAATGTAGTTTGCATATGTCAGGAGGCTGATCTCTGTGTATGGTCAATGCCCAGAAGTAGGTAAATCCCTCCCAGAGGTGATTTTAAAAATTAAGGAATATTTACGTTCCTAATTTGGATGCTCTGAGTTTCCCTCCAGCAGTGTCTCTCTTCACTGATTCTGTAGAGACTGAGGCTCCCAATTTAGGAACATGACACACTCCTAAATTAGGAAGGGAATTACTCCTTTTCCTTCTTCTGCCTGGAAGTTGAACCTATCACGGCATCAGACTGAGACAAGATTCTGATTACAGTAATATCAGTGGCAATTGTGAAGTAACTTCATTCATCTGTAGTAATGGAAGCTCTAGATAGGTAAAGATAAATATAGAGTCTGGTCCATGATGCTGAAATTCTTGTCTGAGAATTGCTGATACTAGAGTATTTGCTTCTGACGGAAAATTTTGGGACAAATTCTCCAAGTTTCTATACACATAAAATAACTGTAAGCTTTACAATCATGCCACATCTGCAGGGTATGGGGAAATGATAGTATCTCGTTCATGTTTGTTCCATGGCCATCATCCAGCTGTGGCAAAGAGAAACCAGAATCAGACTGGACAGTCTAAAAGTAAGTAGAAGATCTGAAGTGCTAGATGAGACAAATAACATTCTCGTATCTTAGGGTCTAATTCAAGGCCTGTATTACATTTCCTATCTAAAAAGTAATTATATTTCTAGGCCTCTGCAACTTCTGTAACAGTCTCTGCCATTTTGGGGGTTAAACTCTGATCCCATATCCTTTGGGCAGTTAAGGATTAGTAGTGTAGTTTCCTAACTTCCCTAGAAGATGTGCCATTACATACTTTATTAAAAAATTGCTTGAGGAATGGACAAAACTGCAATTTCAAGATCCTTTTCAAATGTAACAGAATTCAGGTGCTGTTCTATGGATTTGCTAATATATTTAACTTTGGAATGTTTAATTTGCTAAGGGAACTACTTCTTCCCTGGCATGAAAACACAATTTTTACAGTTCATTTAATTATTTTCAGACTGATAGCACACTTTGGTTCATTGTTTAACACCCTACTACTATGAATACAATAAAATTCTCAAATGATTAATAGGATTCGTTATTTTAAATAATCACACTGAACCTTATTTGCAAGACTTATTAGGTCTGTAACTTCCATATGAATAATGCATTTCTAGCTGTACAGCCAACTGTGCAGAGTTGCTACTCATCCGTACAATATCCTTCTCTCCAACTGCTTTGGGGACAATTGTTTTCCAACATGGAGCCTGAAACTGTATTGGATCTCATCCTATTGCCATGAAAGGCACCCTCAAACAGATTTCCTTCCAGACATTCCTGATCACTTTTTAAGACAATTTGTTCTTCATGCTTGCACACAATGGAAACGCATTATCTGGTAAGTCTAAAAGGCAGCCAGGAGGATGTTGTCACCTAATGTGGGCAGTATCTTGCTGAGCCCCAGCCATGAAAGAGTTCTTTCTGGCCCAGCCTACACAGCTGGAGAGAAATTGAGAAGGGGACCACCAAGCCCAAAGAGAGCTCACAGTCCACCCTGTGTATAACTCTTCCTTTTCTCCTTCTTCATGCATATACATTCTCCACTGAAAAATGCAAGGAGGTTTAAATGGCCATAAACCCAAACCAACCCCTGCAATACACACAGAAATAGGACTTTGGTATGGTAGTTCAAAGAGCAAAACCCTCTGCATTTCTCCCAGGAAGACCACTCTGACTTTGCTGTGCCCACCTCCCCTCACCTCCTGCACTGCCAGATCCTGCCAGTGCCTGTAAGGAACCCTGGGGTGCTGAAACCTTTGCTCACAGACAGAAACCCACAGCAAAGCCCAGTTCCCCACCGTACAGCTGCTCTGCTGCACACACACAGCACTGCTGCACTACTGTCTTCATGTGTGCTATCACCCTCTCATTAGGTAACAGCAGTAGTTTCAGTTAGAAACATCTTGATTCACAGTGACTTTCTGTACCCCAGAGTGATCTGAACACGAAGCACTAGTGGCAGAACTTGCAGAAGCCTGATGATAAGCTCCCACAGCTTGATGGGGTGCTTACCATTTACATCAACATTTATACAGACACAAGTGAGAGCAAAAAAAAAATGGTAGTGGCTTGTAGATTCTTTCCCTGGCTTTCAGTCACAGAAAAAGCTCTTTTTCAGCACAGCTCATCCCTGCATTTATCAAAAAGCCAACCTCCTCTCATTTTTTTTTTTATTCCTAGTGAAACAATAACAGAAATGAAGACAGTTGGCTCTAAATTCCTGTTCACTTATTTTCTTCATCATACAATCACACAAGCAGAAGTAACAGATAGGAAAAAAACCAAAACACATACATGTTCTGATGTGAAGGCAACCAGTCTGGGAATAGCTGCCATTCCTTTTTCTTTAACTTCTGGGAACATCTTGAAACGTGCAATCAACATAGCATACATGTTAGATATGGCACCACCTGGAGTCCACAGTAATATACTGTTACTTTTTCTATGCATTGCAATATTATAGCAGAACAAATGACAAGTCTTGCTACACTTTTTCTAACTCTATGTTAATGTTTCTGCCTAATGGCAGATTCTTCTTCCTGATGCTCCTGACAGGCGGGCTGTGTAGTAAAAGGATCAACTGCACCCAAATAACAATTTATGCAAAAAGTACTGCTGTGGAAAATGACTGGGATTTCCTTTCATTCTAATTTTTGTTACCATTCTCCTTTAGTCCCCAGTCTTCTCTTTCTACATGCCATCAACACACAATGACCATTCTGTTCCACCTCCCAAATGGACCCCACCAGAAGGCAACTTCCAAAGAGGCTTCCATGTGCAACCTCATCTGTGCTCTCCCCTCCCCAATCAGGGTGGCATTTCATACCCTGGCTCTGAGGAAACCCACACAATGAGTCCCAACAGATACTGCCTTCTGGACAACTGGAGTGGGAGGAGGGAAGAGAAAGGAAAGATGGTTATTCTAACAAATATTTTTCTTTTTATTTATTGCTTGATGGAAGCAAGGGGGAAAGATTAGATGTCCCTAACACTAGCCTTAAAATCATTGGCATCTCAAGATGAGTATTTTACCCTCTTCAAGATGGGTATCAGATGACAGCTCTACAGCATTCTGTTCTCATATTTCAACTGTCAATGTATACATTAAAATAAGCTCTTTTTTTTTTTTTTTTTCCCTTTTTGAGATTTTACAAATTACTCCTCTGTGTTTACAGTAGAACAGTAGAATGTCTGGTTATATATTAATGCTGTATGAGCACTATGGGAATATAATGCAGAACCTGAGGCAGAGTCTGAGTACTTTTACATATGAACACACACACAGACAGACATATACACATAAAATCCATGAAGTTTATCCTGTGTATATACTATATATATGTATATATATACACACATCGTTTGATTATATATTGATGCATATGCACATATATTTATATAAAGCAAAGGTGTGTATTTATTAAAGTTTTAGACTTTTAAATTAAGAAGTCAGAGAGCAGCTGAGGTAGAGTTCAACTAACCCAACTTTCACCCATCTAAAAATGGAATGAAGTGCAGAAGAGAGGCACTTTCAGAAGATGGTTCAGCTCATCCTAAGGCAGTTGCTTGTGGTAGGAGGGATGAATCACCCTGCAAATGCATTCACCCTTTTCCCTTAAATACATAGGAGTCCAGGGTAGACACTCAGCACTTAGATAGCCACAGCAAGACAAGATACAATCCACCCTTTAAGAATATCAAGGTAGCTTTGCTGAAAGCAGTGATGTTACAGTGTGTTTACACCAGCAGGGTATATTTGCTGGTAAACTAAACACTGTTGTGGCTTTTGTAAGATTCGTATTTATCCCACTGGAGATATATAGTGTTCCACAGCCTACAGAAACTGTGCCTTTCGTTTCTAATCAGTGTCTTAGCTTTGCTCTTGCAGTGAGGCTGCCCCTGCTCTGGGATTTCCCTGACCTCACTGGCCCTCCTGTGTATCCAAGGGAAAATGTCACAGAGGGATGACATCACTGGCATGAAGATTGGGCTTTTTCTTCCCCTTTCAACTATCTTGAGAAGTATGAACATATTTCTACACCTCTTTTCACAAATGACAAAACAAGAAATGGAGAGATTAAGAGGAAATATTTGAGTATTTGTCCCTAAAAAATGCAGATGTCATATAATGGCTATTGTTGATGATTTGGGTGACTGAACTAAAGTATCCATGTTTAAGAAACATGGCCTATCTTGTCAATAGTCATTGGCTCAGCGTCAAAAGACTGAAACATTATGTTTCTTCAATACCAAACTTCCCTACTAGTATTTATTACCTAGCCATTTAACTTCAAGCTGGTGGTCTGCCTTTATAATTTTGCAGCTGTGTTTCCATCCAGTTAACTGCAGTCAAGGAAACACACCTATGGAATCTGAAGAACTTCATCAGACCTTTTTGTTTTGCATGTATTGATACTGTGTGTTTCATTCCAGAGGATGCAGAGAATGAGAACCTTCTCTTTGCAACAGAAAGGTATTCAGCTGAAGCTGCAACAGTTTGAAATGAGAAAACATCATAGAGTTTACTTTGGTTATTGCCTAAGGAAGCAGAACCTGCACCCCCGGGTATTGGAGTCTTTAAGAGTCTGAATCAGAAAGATGCACTTTGCACAAACCAGAAATTGCAGAGAAAGAAAGGATGCGAGGGGCAGCACCACAAATGGCCAGCACAGGCACATGTCTGCCAGAGCCTGTCCCCATGCAGGTTTCAGCTAGATGAAGCAAGCTCCAGCATCTGATATCAAGCTGGCCCTCAGCTCAGGCAGGACCTCTTGCTGACCTAGCAGGGACAGCAGGTTCCTGAGGCGTTCATCTCTCCTGACACACGTTATCTCAAGCACAGCTTGCCAGACTTGCACAGATGTCCTGCTTTCACTAAGCCTTTCACCCCTGCCTGCCACCCTGTCCAGCCTCTGCCATCCAGCTCTGGCTAAGCAGCACTGTTGTTGCTCTTCTCTTCCCTCTAAGGTCCCTGACCAGCCCAGTGGGGCTCTTGCAGTTCAAGTCTACAAGGTGAGGAACTGAGGACCAGCTGTACCAAGTCAGGCCAGGTACTGGACAGTAACCAACCACTGTCCAGTTTCCAAAAAAATCTGGCTTAGGTCTTGAGGTTGTGATACACGTTTAGATGCTGCCCTGTGTGACGGAGGCCATGGTTTTGGTGAGGATCTCTAAGCACTACAGTAAAAGCTGTCAAAGCTTTTGCTCTCAGTGCTTTTTAAATAAGAACTCAGCATTCAGATGTCAGAAGCTGAAGATGACCCTTGCCGGATCTGCAAACCATGAACTTTACCATTCATGACTCCAGAGAGCTGAACATCCTAGGCTGTTATCAGTGACGTCTTCCCTTTCTTGATAGTCCAAACACTCCTTCCCTCTCCATTAAGTCAATGAACTTTCTTGCAGAAGGGTTCTTTCCCCACCAGCTATCATTCTATCCTCTTTTGACAAGCCAAGATGCTATACCCAAAGTAAATTCTTTCAATTTTTTGCAATTCTGTGACACAGATAGGCCAGTATTTTTTTGCAATGAAGTTCCAGAATAAGATAGGAGGTGACAGAGAGTATAAATCAAAACACTAAGTGGAATGATTTAAAAAAGAAAAAAAAAGAAAAAAAAAACAACTTTTAACAATGTAGTGTTTATCAGAGTCAATGATTGCTCTACAGTTAATCACACTCATTTTTACTTATTGAATTGCCCTGAAGAAGCCAGGTTTCTGAGCCTTTAAGCACTCAGACTAACTACCCACCCAACTAGCCCCCACTGTGAACTACACACTGTAGTGTTGGCAAGACCTAATTACTCCACTAAAATGACTTAAAGGGATGCTACATCTCTCCCTTTTTACTCTAATTTCCCCTGTGGCATTGCCATGTTTCTTCCCTCCATTAATACGATAGTCTTTCTATCTCATGTTATCCTTAAAAAATGGGGGCAAAGCAAAACTGCAAGGCAAATGTCTCTTCTGATTATGTTTCCCATGTGCCATTACAGCTGCTCATAATGCAGTGCAATTTGCTCAAACAGAACCCCATAATCACATCCCTGAAATTCATAAACATGCAATACTTTTTCTAAAGAGGCCACTGGTGGTTATTAGCAAGTGTCCTCTCAAACATGCATATTTAATTATGTTTACTCTTTAACTACAAGGGACGTCATATAGCATAGTCTGAAAAATAAAGAAAGCTTGAAATATCATGTACCAGGTGAAAATATACCATCGCCACAGCCCCCTGGCCAGCCAACCATCTCTCTCATTTTCCTTAGTGTGACATATTCCAAAAGTACAAACACTGGAGCAATTTCATAGGTGAACCTGAAATGCAGTAATGTCCATATTTAATGCTTTCATCTACAATACTAACATATCTTTTTCCAATATTATATTACATTATAGCCACAATATACTCTATCTTGCACTGGGCAGAGTTATGTTTTACAATGCTTTTTATAGTCTTCCTTCTGATTTGACATCAAATGTCTAGAAGGAGAAACGCTGAGAGTGCTTGACACTCCGTTGCCTTCCATTTAAGTGAAACAAGTCTTTCCCAGACTCAAGGCTTTGCCCTGTATTCAAGAGCTGCTGGGCAGACCTGTGTGCGTGTGTAGAAGCACACACGTCAGCAGGCCCAGTGACGATGACAAGACAGTGCATGAAGATAAGCAAGTGCACAAAAATGCTTCTTAGTCCCAAAGTGAAGAAAACCCCACCCACACCTTCAATTCTGCATGTCTTTCTTACAGAAAGCAACGAGTCTAACTGCTCTGAATATGGATAATACATAACCCCTCTGCATGAATTCAACTGTTCCCTTTGCACACCTTTCATTTTACATATTTATGCATGCAAAATATTTTTTTCTGGATACTTTTTTGGGGATGTAGCAACAACAACAACACATTAGTATGATAAAATACTATAGAAACCAACCTACAGGACAATATTGAAAGTCATCACATAAATAGCTGTAGCAACCATTTAAAAAGCTGACAATTGTTTTCTGAGTCACTTTAACAAAAAGTATTCTTTTTTTTTTTTCATTCAGCTACAGCAGCTAATATTTTAGAGCATAACTGTAAAATTATATTATATATTATTATGGGAAAAAGATATCTGTTACTTACATATTAGTATTTGCTGCTGATGTCAGCCAGTCTGCTGCCAATCCAACCATGTCCAATCCAGTTGAAAGTTGATTAAAATATCTAGGGTGCCCTGCATAAGATGAAAAATGTTATCCAAAAGCTTATGACTCTGAATGAAACTAATTCAGTACTGAAAGGTATTTTTACTGCTGGATTTCTATAGAGAAGGAAGTGCTTTCAAGACATGAAACAAAGCAAATGGCAATAAATACATAAATACATTTCTTGGAAAAGGCAAGTTTTCTTTCTCATTCAAAACTCAGTAAAACCGAAGTAATTACACTGAACGTAGAATAATGAATTCCAACATTCCTTATTATCCTCTCAATATGCCTTGAAAATTAGCACATCGTTGCCTCACAGAAATAGCTGTTTGCTCCTGTTATGTGTCACATGTTGTCACTGGATGTGTTTTTGCCTGGCTAGGTTTGAAAGGCACACACGAGACACCATCTGAAAAGCTTGCCAGAACATACAACATCAGTGATGAATGGCTAATGATTACAATAGACAGAGCAAAATGAGAAAATGGATCATTCTGGTAACTGCTTTGCACATGACTCAAAGGCTGCTGATTGTACAAAGATGGCAGGGAAGGTGGCAGTCCTTGTCATTTCTTCCCTGTCACAGTGCAATTACAAACAGCCTGCTTGCTCGCATTTGTGATTTTAAACAAACCTCACGAAAACCATCATTGCTGCCCCAGCAGAATGAGGCACAAGAACATACTCAATGAGCTGATAGTCCCTTTACCTGCTTAATCTAATCGGCTCTTGTTTTCTTCTAAAATCCTGTTAAGAGATTTTTCTTAAAAATATGCCTAGAGCCATTAAACCCAGGACCCATTAAAATCAGTTTTTACTAGTTGATCCCCAAAAGCCCCTGTTAAGTGGCATAATTATTGGTAAAAATTAGAATAGTTCACAATTACTTAAAAGCCATCCGACTCAAAGGACAACAGCCTCAGCTTGGAAAACACCTCTCCTGACCCACAGACAAATGTACTGCTATTGCCGTCACAGAAAACAAAAGATAGAGCAAGATGATTGAGGAAATGGAGATCCAACACCAAGAGAAAACTTATCTTTGGTCTCTGGTGGCCCCTTATCAGGCACAGACACATGGCTGGCATAAGAGCAAGGGGAATTGCTCCCCAGCTCCTGCCTTGCAGCACACAAAGGCAAAGTAATTGGGATGTGCAGGCAGACTGTGGCAGGGGAAAAGGGGCTGGGGCACACACAGAATCTGGATCTCTGCACCCTTAACCTGGGGCACACCCCATGCTGTTGCTCTCTAGGCCGACTGTGTTTTGTACTGAGCCCTCCCCACTGGAGACAGGAACTGCCACCTTCCCCTGGCACACCCTGTCCAGGACAGGCGGGCAAACTCCCTCAGGCACTGGGGCACCTGGGTGCTCTGCCACCCCTGCGAATGCCACAGTGACCCTGCACAAGGGGCTCTGCCTGCAGAGGACTGCATCTCCCTGACAATGGGATTTAGAGAGAGATTTTGGTATTATAGCTCAGGTTCCATCTCAGAGCCAGGAAAGCGTGTTCTGAAATACTGCTGGAAAGCAACAGAAAATTAGAAGCTAAAAGCTTTCAGTGCATGTGGGCCACAGGAAGGCTCGAAGATGCCAGAAAAAATCCTGCTTTGCAAATAAATCCACAGTGAAAAGCTGGGGGATAGCAAAATTCATATTTGCAGCCACTGTCTCGGTAGCTCTCTGTCAGCTCTGTACTCAGCCCCAGGCAACAGCTCTGTTGTCACTGCTTGTTTCTTCAAGGAAACCCGAGCACACCTCCTGCTCTGGGAAGCGCCTCGGAATGGAGCCAGCTGCACGCAGGGGTCACGGCAGCCGTTCCCGGCAGCAAGCGAGGCAGGGGGAGCAGGGGCTGCTGCGTGGCTGCTGGCAGCCCCCACACCTGTAACACGGCCCCTCCAGCCTGTGCTCCTCCTTCTGCAACGTGGCCTCAACACGCGATGGCGGGGAATGTGATGCCCCAGTCTGACCACAACCACAGCTGCAAGGGTTTGTCTGTCCCTGTGACACCTGAGCCCTCTTCCCTCAGGTAGGTGGCCAAGGAAAATGTGGCTTTGCTTAAACGACAGTCTCCACCAGCCAGGTAAGAAGAATTTGGGAGAGACGCTCAAAAATCACTTCCTGGATGCTGTCTGCCAGAAACACACATCCTTTGACGTGGTTGTCACCGAACAAAGAGATGATTTGAAAAGAGACTGACATGATGCGGGGACGGGAGAGATGTGAAAATAGCAGGTGATTGCTTACTGGTTGGTTTAGCAATATACAAGGTATTTATGCACATCCCAGAGTAAACTGGGAGATGATGGCGCAGAGTTGGGGCTGAGGCACTGGGACAGCCAGGGATGGGCTTTCCCTGCTGAGGACATGCCTTTACCCCACACACTCTCCTCTCAAACACAATCCTGCCTGCACTTGCTATTAGGCACAGACATCCCCTCCCATTAACATGCAGCATTCACAGCCTGGACAAGGAAGCAATGACAAGGGCTGGGCAAAGCCAGACAGCAGGGATAAAGGCAGGGCCAACAGTGCTGACTTTGGCCTTGCTCACAGCCCCAGCACATGCATAGCCTGCTACTGGCATCAGGGCCGGCCAGGGAGCAAGGCTGGACAGGTGTCAGCTCCTCACACCCAGCCCGGGATTTCCAAACCATTTTTAAATGCTCATACTTCAATTCCCCCAGCGTGCACTGCACAGGAACTGATTTTTGCATCCATCTTTCCCTGCATTTGCAGATGTTGCCTTTTACATTCCCTCAGACAAAATTCATGCCAGAGGTGGATGCCAGTGGCTGATGAGAGGACAGAAACCCCTATGCAGCTCCCCCAGGGAACCCCAGAGAGCTGCAGCACACACGTTAACACCTGGGAGCATCCCACACCTGCCCCTCAGCCAAAAAATGAGCCATCCAGCTCCTTGAATTCCAACCAGGGATAAGTGCTGGGGGGGCAGAGGGACGACTTGGGGATCCAGCTGTGAGGCTAATCTAAGCAATACAATTTATTTTCCAATCAGCCTGCCAGGCCCCTGCAGCCAAACGCAGCCCAAGGGGGGACATGTTCAAAGGGCTCCTTCAGAGGGAGCACAGACAGACCCCACCACCAGAAACCTCACTTCATTGTCCTTTATCTGAGGGTAGTTTCAGCCGTTTACTCTGACGCACATGCCGAAGGGATACGGGTGTAAATCCTGCCCATTTTGTGAGCCCCCCCAGCCTGGAGAGCCCCCTCCTGCCCAGGAGCAGCAGCAGCCAAGCTGCTCCTCGCCCCCCGGCCCTGCAGGCAAACACATCTCACACACACCCCCAGCACTGGTCCCCAGACCTTGAAAACATTATTCTTATTAAAACAAATTAAAAATGCCAAAAAAAGGAACGTCTCATATATTTACGGGGAGGAAGTGAAATTTCAAGATTGTTCTAAAGGGTCTTTTTTGGATGCACAAAATGAAGTAGGTCCATTATGTGAAACAGGTTCTAACAAAAACAGATTAACGAAAACCGCTTAAGAAACGCTATTATGTGATTTCCCAGATTCGCAGATCCTGTGTTTCACAGCACCCTGTGAAAATACGTTTCCTGTGCCCTACACGGACACATCACATGGATCACTGGACTGATCGACTTTGCTCCCGTGGACATCATTTATCTAACTATTTATTCCAATATTTTACCGTCGTTTTGACAGCACCCGACTCATGCACCAAAAACATTCATCTGGACATTTCCACGTCTGAACGACGAATACACATATGACCCACAGTCTTCACTCGGATCAGTCTGTTGTGTTTCCAAAAGGTGACAAAACCTGGTTTTTGCTTTCCTTTCAACCTCTCTTCACAAATCAGCCTTTCGCATCTTTCAGTAATTGCTACACATTTATTTTTAAGCAATTTCTCGGTAATTCAAATTCCCACTAAGAGGTCCCTGCTCTCCACACGATTTCCTCATCACAGCTGTAATTGTAGCCCCGCGTTTTGTGCGCTGCAGTTTATTCAAGCCAGCCACGGCCGCAGAGCAGGGAGCTGCCCCCCGCCCGGCTGAGCCCCGCCATGAAGCCCCCCACGGGGGGGGGGGGGTGGACTCACAGGGGTCCCGGCAGGCAGGACTCATCCCATCCTTGCCCTTCTCAAATGAAAAAAAAAAAATCCAACAACAAAAACAAACAACACAAAAGCTTTGCTTTTATTGCCTTGAGCCTGAAGGTGACAAAAACCCCACAACCCTCAACACTCCTGTGCACAGTTCTGCCAAATTTTCCTATTTTTATGTCCCGCAGGTATGAGGCGAGACACGGGAAATGGCCGCTCAGAGTTCCCACTTACAAGATGTTTATTGCGATTTTGGCTGTTAAATGGGCTGGTCCCTGCTGCCCCCCCGTGCAGGGACGCTCTCCGTCCTCTCGCCCCGGCTGCCTCCGAACCCCGCGCCCGACGCACCCCGGGTCTGCAGGGAGCAAGGGGCAATCCCCTGGACATCACAGCTAAAATGGATGGAAAGGAACCGAGGAGAATCACCAAGGTAGTGAAATGCCTGCTCAGGGGCAAGCTCGGCAACTCCAAAACACAGAAGCACTTTTAAAATACGGAAGCGCGTGCGGTGCTGCACTGACAGCCACAGAGACGGGGCTGCTGGAGTGTTTTACCAGTTCGGAAAACGATTTATGTCTCTGCTAGAAATTGCCTGTAACTGACAAAATACAGTCACTGCTTTAAGCTTTAACGTTTCAAGATAAAACGAAATGACACCTTTGATCAATGGATGACACCCAAGACGGTAGAAAATGAGCAAGGTAATTACCTGTTTTAATTGCATACTTCAGAGTTGTTCTGCAGTTCAATAAAATTTCTTCCAAGGTCTGTGGCTGCTCTGCCAGTTCCCAGTTATACTCCTGGAGCAGCTCATTTGGATAATGGAAATCAATAACTTTCGTCGATCTATCAAAACTTTTTGCCACATACTGAAGTAAAATGTCCACAACGTCTTGTAAGAAAGACATGGTTGTTATTTCCCCGTTGCATGCCGGCAGAAGATCTGAGAACAGAGAAACTAAAGTTAACTTCGTTTTAAAACCATACACACAGATTTTGGACAAAGGCTTCTCCCATTGCTGTTTAGGAAATCTCTTCACTGTGTTCAATACAAAAAAGCCTGTGCTTTCATTTGATAAGTAATTTGGATAAGGCTGCATTTTAAGGGACATTCTGAGCAAGAACACTTCTGGTTTAACATCCTATCTAAACGAGCAAATTTTGCCCAGTGTATTTCAGCCCGATTTTTAAGACCACGAGAGAGCAGAGAAGAAGAAAAAAGGGAAAACGGCTCTCCGGAAAAATAAAGATCGGGAAACAAAGGCTAGAAGTGGCGCTCTAAAATCTGCCATTTCCCTTGCAATAAAATACCTTCATTGTGACTCTCCAGCGCAAGTAACTTGTTGATAATTTAATGCCTTTTTCCGAGGCGAACATCTTTTGTTTAAGCTGAAGTGCAACGGCTCAGCGAGAGCCATCGAAAGAGAGCCGAGCTGCAGCCGAACCCCCGAATTCGGGGTGACCCGGGAGCGGTGGGACAGGCAGGAGAACAAGTGCAGGGCTCTGAGCAGCGCCTGCCCCGCGGCGCAAACGGGAGCGCGTCTGGCCAGCGCGTTTCTGCGGGGAGCTGGGGGACGCAGGAGCGGAGCCGCTTCCTCCAGGGTCAGGGAAGACGAAGTGCAAAAATATCCTGAATTAAAATAAATCAGGAAGACAGCGCTCTTTGTCCCTCCTCCCCTCAAACCTTAATTACACCGCAGGGACTCCAAGGAGAAGGTCGCGGATGCCCGTGTTCCTTAGAAAGAGCAACCTGCAGGCTCCAGCAAGCCGGGATTTTATTTATGTATTTTCATTTTTTTCCCCGGGATCTTTTTTTTTTTTTTTTTAATTGAGGTCCCGTGTTGTTTTTTTGTTTGCTTTGTTTTGTTTTTCCCGGCGGGTCTGAACCGTCCGGCGCCAGCGGGTGCCGGGAAAGCGCAGCAGCGGGCCGGGTCGAGGGGCGCGGAGCTCCGCGGAGCCTCCGCGCTCCGCCGGGGAAGGGCAATTTCCCGACCGAACCGCTGTTGTATTGTTAGTTGGAAAGACGCGGCGTGGCCTGGGAGCACCGTTACCTGTTGAGTGCAGAAAGGCGTAATTCACCTCCGCTTTTTGGCAGCCGCAGGGTTTTTTGTCGCAGGTACAGGCTGGCCGCGGCTCCGCAGCTCCCGGGGCTGCCCTGGCGCCGGTTTCCACGGGCTTCTCGGCATCTCCGTAGAGCAGGGCTTGACAGCGACACGGACACACGGCCTCAGCACCGCGGCCTCAGGCCCCGTCCCCCCCCCCGCCCCACCCCCGCCCTGGC